GGCTTTTATAGATTTTGTTTTTAATAATTGCCATTTAGAAACAAGTTGAAGTAAATTGATACCAACTCTCCCCTGTAGATATGGGTACACATGTAAATGCAGTAGTTTACAAATATTAATTGCACCACACTAAAAGTATCCACATTAGACATAGCACTGATTTAAATATATTAGTATAAAAATCATACTTTTAAACAATGTAGTTAAATTAGTACAAAGGCTGTGTTTAGATCAACCCTAATGAACGCTTCCCTGGCAAGAAGAGTAACAGATTATGGCTTTTTTAAAGTCCCATTTCTAGCAAAACAGTACAGTTTAAAAGTGACGTAATTATTTTGCTACAGTTAATTAATTCCTACTCTGTTAAATTATTTTGGGTTTCTTAAAAAGCCGAAGCAACAATATTAAGGCCTCCAACAACGGACTTCTGGATTGCCATGAGATGGCGCTGACGGCCCATGAGCACTTACACACATGGCATAAAGCTGGAGTAACTGCATGGTCTCTTGAGATTCTTGATCCTAATATTGTAACCTACAATATTAGGCATTAGAGCACAGGGGTATAGGCAGAGAGGAGCCCCACATGCACTATTTGTAGCACTAAACTGGTAGTATTTAGATATAAAATGTGCGACCGCCTGTCATGTTACCAGGAAGAAACGTCTGGAATGCAGTCACCTCTCTGGACATCGTGGGGGAGAAAGGACACACGAGCTATGTGAATAATTTAATCAGAACTGGAATGCCACTAAACCTTTGTAGTTTCACCTTTTGTAACTTACAGTAAATACAGGAACTAAAGAGAAACATACTATACTATGCTAACATCTGTTTGTTTACCTTGGACAGTAATGAAATATAGCCACAACCACTGTATCTAGAACTTATAGGCAATATCTCCTCTCTATAAACTATTCTTAAATGTGGAGTCTAAAATTGTGATTTGTTCTAAAAAGAGGCAAGATTTCTCCTAACAGGCTTAAAGGTTTTAGTGCTACTGTCTATAATTGGCTTTACGTCTAGGCATGTAACAAGCTTCATAATAAAAAGACAGCATGAAACAGTATTAAATTAAATTAAATACATATACTTTCAGTTCCAAAACAAGAAGCACAAACTACACAGGGCACGGTACAACTGACACTTTATTCCTTCGTGATGGGGATATATAATACTGAAACTGCAAGAGTCACCAAAAAAAAATTAAATCAAAGTGCAAACCTCTATTAGGACAGATTATGGAATGTATTGATGTTTTTGGCACAAAAAGTGGGGAACTATATACTGCAACAAGATTTTAAGTTTAATGAATGTAATGCTTCTGTGCTCAGTAGTCACATTTGTGCACTGCAGAACAATACAATGTAAAACAGTGACTAACACGATTCACATACAACTCTATACAATTTACATCACACGTCCAGTTAAAACTTCTCTGAAAATACATGAGGTCCACTGATACTTTGTTCACAACCACTTAACAAATACCATTCTTTAAGCAGGCTTATCTTTTCAGCTTCCTTATTGATAAAAACAAAAATAGAGAATCTTAAATAGTAAATTATTTTCCTCAAATGGTTCCATGTGAATGTTGATGTTTTCTATTAATTTGGCTCTGACTTTGCAGATATAATGTAAAAGAAGCTGAATAAAATCAAAAGCTCATTTTTTCCCATCTTTCATCTCCAATTTGCTGTGAACAAACAGCATTCTGTCCACTGACTTTTTGTTTTCAAAACTGGACATAGTGGTGCCTATGAGCTCTATATCTATCACATGGAAATCACCAAAAAAAATCAGAGCATAACTTCACACAGTGGCATTCTATTTAAAACTGAATATTAGCATGGTAAACACAAAAATACATAAATGGAAGAATTCAAGTTTATCTCATAAGGTACAGTATGCATTCACATTTTCATTGCAGAGAGAAACACTGTATTCACATTCTGTTGAAGAAAGAAGCCCACATATCACAGATCTCCCTAAACTCTTAGCAAAGATAACATCCATGAAGTATCTATAATGCACATTGTAGCTCTTTCATTTGAACTGAGCTAAACTGATTGCTCAAAGGAAAAAAACCTTTGATGAGTAATTCAAGCCCCATCGCTGAGCTATTAACCACAAGAACTTCTGTACTGGCCTGCTCTGTCATATATCCTGACAGTTGTTATCAACTGTATTATGTGGGCAGCTATGAGTGTTCAGTGTCTCATCTCCTTTTTTGGTTTGGGATTTTATTTTATTATTTATATTAATCAAGAATGATGATTTATATCAGGCATCTGAGAAATGTTCTGGTGACAAAATATACAGGACACCCATAAGATGCACATTTGTCACTGCAGAAATGTCCTCAGAAATTAATTCTTTGTTTGGGCAACAACAACAACAAAAAAGCAAACAGCAAGAACAAGAAGCATTTGGCATGATTTTAGTTCTTAGTACCATACTGCAAATGCACAAACTTAAGTGCTTGTAATGTTTTTGCTTTATAATGCCAGAATAAAGACTAACACTAAAAGCGGTGAGGTGAGGGCGATCCCACTAACCAGCTTCGGTAACTTTCGGCATGAGACTAAGATGTAATTTAGAGCGTCTGTGTTAGGAGGCTGTGATATCTACTGAGACCAACAGAGAGAAAGCAGGTGTGGTTTTAGAGCACCTAAATTTTGTGCCTGAAGTTAGAGAGTTTGAATACAACTTGAAATTAACACTCAAAGGAATTCAGGTCCCTCAGCCACTCCTTGCTCTTTCTGTATACCAAATGCCACCCTGAAGCCAAGGAAATCTAAGTGGCAAGAGATGAAGAAACAATCTCTCAGTCTACCCAGATGTTTCTCAGCTCTGAGATCCCAACTCCTCCTCTCCCTGTCCTGGGGAGCTAGGAGAATGCTTTGTCACCCATTCTATTGCTTTCAAGGACACGAGGTATTAACAATGTCCACCACAAATGTTTCTCTGTTGTGGAGTAACCCTAAAGAAGAGGAGTCACCCTTGTCACTCTCTGGATCTACAGCTCCTGTTGACAGTCATCCTTCCAGCTCAAAAGAAGTTGCTCAGACCCAAAGTAGACCCCTTAGTTTCTCCTCTCTCCTGACACCTACTCAAGGAGGGAGTGAGTTTAGGTTCATACACCAAGGGTTGGGATACTTTGGAATGAACAATGAAGAGGGAGAAGTACAGAAAAAGACTCAAGTAAGGAGAACTGAGGCAACAGAAGGCAAAATCACTTAGGTTAAAAGAGAAAAGTGCTCATCATGCCTTGATGAGCAAACTAGAAATAAGAGTCTGAGGAAGAAGAGACAGGTGAAAGGTCAGAGAGGGCAGAAGGAAAAAAAAACCACCACAGAAAGATTCAAAGATAAATAAAATAGAAATCCCACAGCCTAACATTGTCCCAGTGTAGCTGGATGCTCCAGCTCCCTAGTGAGAGAAGGGCAGAGGGACTGAAGGACATGGAGTGGGGCCAGGCCCCAGGAGGTACATGGACAGGTCGGGGTAGGGAGTCTGTTTCGGTTTTGTATAACAGCTCCCATGGCTGCACATGTTTTTAACAACTTGCCTCTAGGAGGTCACAGTTCAATACTGCTGGGTCACTTTTTGGCACAAAATCTCTGTTTGATGTTATTTTGAAATGCATGATACTTTATCAGATATTTAAAAAGCACCAAGGGAAAGCAGAAAAAGATTTCCCCATTGCAACATTTATATCCTTAGAGCCTGACCACCTGGGTCAGGCTTAAATGATCATGCATGGGAATGGAAGAGACAAAGGGGAAACATTAGGATAACCCTTTGGGACAGCACAGTCATTAAAAAAAAAACCAAATAAGTCACTTGCTGTTTGGCTGGCTGAAGGCTTCCTTTGGGACATGCTCTCTTTTTCCATAGGATATGTTTGCTCATCGTTACTCTCTCCCTTATGATACCTTGTGTCATCACAACATACACTGTACCCACAAAGCATCAGACGTATCCTGGTAGCTGCCAGGAGGTTCTCCCCTCATTAGCCACTGAGATGCAGCGAGAGATATGGTGAAGAGTACCTGTGGATATGAGTACTTGTGCTTCCTCCCTTATGACTGCACAAAAAACACGCAGGTTTCCAAAGGATATCCGAGTGTGTGCTTGGTTAACACTGTTTGCTTTCCTGCAGACCACGTTGCCTGAGCCCCTTACTCACTTCCTACTGTACCTTAGCAACATGCCACAAGCGGTTCAGGAAAGGTGGAGGAGATGTCTAGGAAGTTGATAACATGTTCAGACTATTTGTCAGGCTCTAGAGAGTTCCCGCTACTGCCTCTGTTTGGGAATTTCTCCCATCCTTAGTTTACAAATGATTTAACAAGAAGCATGTGAATACAATGGTGTATGTTTCACTTTGTGGTAGTGAAAAAAATAGTATGACTCAGTGGGTAAACATGTTGTGGAATGTGCTACAAAAATTATATTCGCTTTAACTGAATACCACAGTAAATATTCATGCAATTAAAAGAAAAATAAGATGGTTATTGTTCCAAGGAAAACTGCCCCAAGGGCAGATAAAGTACAAATGCCAATCTTTCAGGAAAAAATAGCTTCTCTTATTCATGGGCATAATCCAGGAATAGCTGTCCTTCAACTCCTTCTATCACCCTTTTCTTTTGAATTTTGCTAGTAAGTGGCCTCCAAGAGAGGAGAAAACAGAAAGGAGAAACAGAAATAACTTTTAAGATGTAAACAAAGAGATTTAAAACCCCCATCCTTTAAATTTCTTTTGTAGGTTTAACTTTTCCAAAAGCATCTCAGTCTTTCATTTTTGTGGTCAGGAGGCTCCCTAGGATCTGGTCTTTTAAAAAACTCTCCTCCCATTCTCACCACATTGAAAATCACGGCATTAGCAGGAAACTGGGATCTGATCTTGCAGGAGGCATCTTGTGTGACTGTGCTACTCTCTTTTTCTGGCATTCAAGTCTCCCAGGCAGACATTGCCCTTCAGTGCTCCCAAGCGCTTCCAACTTTGGAAGCTTTTTCCAAAGTTGGTACCTGGTGTCTGAAACTGATTCCAGCCACAGCCACAACTCTGCCCAGCAGCAGCAATGTGATATGGCCGAGACAGTGAGCACAGTTCAGTGCTCACTGTTCCAGCCACTATGCAGAAAGCTTCCCTACCACACAAGATACCAAGTTCATGAGCCCACTGAGTTTTCTTCAGTCCCCCCAATACCTTGCACCACTGAAAGCAGAGAACTGAGGAAGGAAAAAAATACGCAGAGCAAAGAAGTAAGAGAAAAGAAGACAGAAGGGAATAGTGTAAAGATAACAGAGGTGCTTGAAATATTGAGAATTAGCTGGGTTTCATAAAATTTTCACACAGGTATGTTAAATCACTAAAGCTAGGGGTTAGCCATTATAATTGTCTTTTACTAGCCCATGGGACTAACATACTTCCAGAGTTATGTGCCCCCAACAAACCCTACATCCACCTTAAATATCATCTGCAAAGACATAAGAAAAATTCACAAAGCAATAAATTTGTAAACAAGGGTTAGTAGCACAGTGGTACAGTAGATTGTCAATTAAAACAATAAAAGTGTGGATACAGATTCGTCTACCTTGTGTGTAACATTATTGCCAGTTACAAGGGAGGGACTCTGTAAACTCATAATTCTGAAGCTTTGTTAATAAGCACAGCACAACAGGTGAGTGACCCATCTACTTTCTCCAGTTCTGTGTTGGCTATTGGGATCAGCATGTGGTCCTTCAGTTTTTCAAATACCTGTTTAGAAAAGAAAAAGTAACAGAAAATCATTACACTTTACATCCCTTTTTTTTCCCCTTTAACTGTCTGCAGAATGAACTGGCATGGATTTATCAGCAGGTGCTAAACTGTCTCATCATTTGTAATCAATATGAACGTTTTCAGTGCACGTGGCCTTTTTGCTCTGGGATTCACACACATCACACTGCAGCGGGGGGGAGCTGTTGCTATATCCAGTTACGTGGAAAGAGCACCAGAGGCACAAGATACCGGGTCTCATGAGTAATGGAGATGAGAACAGAGCCCAAGCCTCCCACCTTTTTCCATGTGCTATCTCCATGATGGGATAGAACAGCCCATTTTGAAAAGCATCTGATTTCAGTTCCCACCGACCTCCTGGCGGGGCAGGGATGCTGGAGGTCTCTCAGGCATCCTCAGCACGGCTCTCACCTTTGCACTCTCCGGGTACTCCTCCGGGGCTCGGTGCAGCAGGACGTGGCCCTTGCTGGGAATGTTTAAGTACATGCAGTTGGCTGCGGCATCATCAGGCACTGTCAGCTTGTCATAGCGGTGGTCACTCATCTGTTGCATGGTCTGCCAGGAGACACAACATGCAGCTATTTAGAACAAACACATTAGCAGCCCTGAACAAACAGGAGGACAAAACATTCAAAAAATATCTAATAGTGAGTGCCAAGTCAGCCAAGGGGCATTTTGCTATGCAGCAAGTAAGGACATCTCTTTTCATCTCTGCCCTTCAAGGAAGAATCTACTAACCCTAACTGAAATGCACAATAGAAAACCTTTGTGATATAATTCCTGCAAGCAGCAGGATTAAGCAGGGCACTCAGTAAGCATCCTCTGCCAAGCCTTTTCCTCAAGGAATGTGCATTGAGTATGCAAAACTCCTACTCACATTGACTGAGACTATAGGTGCTCAGCACCTTCAAAACCAACCATCATTCCGTATTTATATAATGAGCGTGAACTAAACCAAACAGGACAGGAACAGTTCCCAGCTTGGATATCAGCCCAATCTTAATTCTTTTCAAGGATCTCCTTTCTGCTTTCCAAGCAGTTACTCTTTCACTAATCACCTGTGCTGAGAAGCAAGCAGGCACGTCTGTGCTAATCCTCATTCCCAAGGGGACAACACAATAACCTCCTCTGAACAACAGAGCTGGTGGGTTTCTGAGGTTGGGTTTATAAATATAGGGCTCATACAGAAATGTAGATTCTGGCTGGAATTTCAGAGACAGAGACTCAGCACACGACAAGCATGCGATCCCATGTTTTGGATCAGATCCTTTTTAATAAGGATGGGAAAAGCCTGAAGACAAGACGCCTGACTCCCCATTGTATTGTTCCAGCTTTACATCAGCTTCACCCTAACAGGGACCAAGAATAACACAGAACTGAACACAGCACAAAGTCCAAAACTTTGGTCCTACTGAAAGTCTAAGAAAATGCAAGTGTTTCAGTTTCTCTCCCAGCCCACTCCTGTTCCCACATATATTGCAAAGGTGCAAACAGAAAGAAAAGGCTTTTTTAGCTTAAAAATACTCACGCTAATATTATCTTTAGAAAAAACTGGTCTTTTGTTAACAAATTTTTTTCAGCTAAATTCCTTCTCACAAAAATCCCAGGGATTTGCATCACGTAGCAGAAAGCAGACTTTAATTTTAGGCACAGTTAAGCTTATCATTAAATTATTTCCAAGGTCATTCATCTGTACTACTTCTCATTCATTAAAAAAAATACTACATATAGCTGAAATATAACGGGTTCTACAACTTACTGGGAACCAACAAAATCCTTCATAGGTCTGGATACATTTTTTATGTTGTAGCCTGAGTCATCCACATCCCGCGGAGAACATGAAACTCATAATGAAGAATGCCATGCATTCTTGAGGAAGTGTTATCAGATTGTCATTTCTTGTTCCTTCTCAAGTTATGAAACTCTCCCAAGTTCCCAAGGACACATCAACCTCCATAAAAGGTTAATGTGTTTTTCTGGGCAAAAGTCCTTGCACCTTTACTTCACCAGATGCATTTTTGTATTGGTACGTGCTTATCACAGTTGATTTTCATAATTTTGTTTCTGTTACGTTGCCAAGATGTGTTTTATTCTGCTTTCCTTGATGTTGCAGACATCTAGCAGCTGGTGACATGCCTGCACCCAGAGTGGCTCTTCTACCTAGTAACCAGAGCCAGGTTTGCCCTCTACCTGCAGCTTCTCTTTTCCTCACTACATAATATTTTTAAGTCTTGATTAAGGAAAAATTTATTCAATCTGCACTAAAATACATGTAACAGTAGAAGAAAAGCCACAAAGTCTGGAATTCACTAAGCTCCCAAACCGAAACAGTAGCACTTTCTTCACTCCTTGTTGGAAAAAGAATCCTGATATTGTAGGTTTCCTGTAGAAACAGCTCATTCATCAAAAATATATTATGAATCACTGTGAAATTATATGAAATTATGAAAGAATTCTTAAGCAGAAGGGTAAAGACATCTCTCATTCATTCGTTTCTGCAAAATGCTGAAGTGAGAACAGCAGCAGCAAGCAGAAATGAAGGACAAGTGGCAGGGCTCTAGCTGTGCCTCAGGGACCAGCTTTGGGAAGCCTGGGAGATGATGGCGAGGATACGTTAAGAGGATTGTTTTCAATATTAAAAAGCACACAAGCAGGGGCTAAATTAATTCAGAAACAAATGAGAAAAAAATGAGTGGGAAAGTGAGATGAAGCAGCATGAGAGTTTGAGTACACAGCTGTGACAGTGGGACTGGGATCTCAGCTGCCTGAAACAATACTGCAAAAAAGCTTTTATTACTAACTGGAGGTTTGACAATACAAGATTATTCTCTTCCTCAGCTTCAAAGACAAGAAGGGAATCATATTTGCAAGCTTTCATCACTATGATAACTATGGCTGCATGTTGAAGTGAAATTTCAAAAACCACTTACTTGAGAGAGTGCCCAGGCAATACCACCCAAGCCTGCCCCACAGGGAGGCTCTGGATGCAGCAGAAATGCACCAATATGACACAATCCGGGTACTTTACAGACCCATGGGGTTTTCCGTATTTCTATTATGTAAAGTCATTAAGTACATGTGCCTGGCCAGATAGACTCCAGAGCACAGAAAAAGAGATAAAAGCAAGGTCCTTTGATTGTATTTTCTATCAGATACCCCCCAAAATATGTGGGTTTTTTTGAAAATTACAAGTTTACAAAGACTATAGTGCTCACATAATGCATTTGTGGAGGGCTGGCTTTCTGCCCACAAACGTTGTACAACCAGCTACATTAAGAGCCAGGCATTTCCCACATGCCTTGTTTTTCTGGGAATTTTCTTCAGCCTAAAGAGGGTCATTTTCATTGCACATTCTCTCAGCCCTTAGTCATGCTTTCCTTATGTTGAAGTCATTCACATAGCCTAAAATGCCTTTTCTATAGCTTTTTTTTTACAGTGTGTCCTCAGACAACTGAGGTAATGGATAAGCTAAATAATCCTAACTATGAAACAGCATTATGCATGAAGGAAAAATGTGTATGCATTTAGGGCCTATTTTCACTGACAGAGCTAAGATGACTGCATGCACTTTTAAAACAGGCCAAGCCCAGCTATAAATTTTCACCCTCAGTGAGGAAGGCCCCAGCCTAAGCCCTGCTGCCTACTCACTCCGGGACCCACTCACATCCAGACTGCTGTGGGATGGAGAGCGACCAAACCCACCACACCTGCAATGCACTTTTGTACCTCCAACACCCCACAAGTAAAACCAAACATACACTGAATGTTCCTCTTGCTAACAGGGCATCGAGCACCGCACTTAAAAATGGTTGTGTGATGTTGACAGAAAAGCAGATGCCCAGATTTGCAGGATTTAATTTGTGTATTGATTAGCCCGTGTTCTCCTGGCCCCCAACATTTAAAAGAAAAATCAAATCCAAGCTCAAGTCAAATACATGTAACCCTACACCCACAGGATCATTCTCTCATCAGCTTTCAGCTATCCTTTCTTAAATCCTTCAAGTCACAGTATTCTTAAAAGAAAACTAGTCACTTCAAACTATTTAAGGTATTTTTTCTATCCCATCTCTTTTCCTTCTTTCCAGGCATATTACAGTTTGGCCTGTTTTACAATGATGCTTAAGTAGCATTTGGCCTGGAATCTAAGAGCTTGAAAGTTCTGAGAAAAGATTAAGTTACATCAAGATTTTGCCTACAGTGATAAAAATGAAGTATTTTTGTGGTACAGGGCAACTAAAACTGATGAGGTTGGATAAGAGATTGGAAGGACAATATGTTTCTCTTCTGCTTGAAGGAAAGGCTGCTTGTCTGGGAATAACATCAGGCCTGTGCCCTTACACACTGAAGGTGAAAGATGAGGACAGGCACCTGGCCAGTCCATTGCCATCTGGAGGGAGGGCTGAGAAATGTAAATTAGTGCTTGCTACCTGAAAAATACTGCTGATAACCAAATCTGCTTTTCTAAAACTCTTTCAGAACCTGGAAGAGCTTCTTTTTTACTGCTGCATGATGGGGGGTCTCCAGCTTCATATTAGAGGTGATGATACCCACTTCTGGATCCCAAGACAAGGACTGGAGGTGACCAAGATTTAGTACATGGTTCCCGGGAACCTCAACTCATCAGCTGTTATACAGACTGATACCAGTTCAGCACTGTCCCAGGCCCAGGAGTCTGCTCAGTTTGCTTTTGAATGTGTAGCAAAGTAGCTTCAGAGTTCAGACAGGTACTGTGCAAGGAAGCACTTCTTTTCCCTTCTTTTTTTTGAAATTGCCCCTTACCTTTAGAGCTCCCTTGGTTCTTGCAGTGGAGGAGACAGTGAACAATTGATCCCCAATCACCTTTTCCACATCATTCCTGACTTTTTAGGTATCTATGATTGCATTATAGTTGTCTTTTTTCCAGGTTATAGTCATAGCTTGCTTAGTTTGTCTCCTTAGCTGTCCAGGCATCTGTCAGTCGTTATTGCACTTTTCTGAATCTTTCCAGTTTTACTTTACGTTTTTTGGAATGAAGTGATTATGTATGCAAAGTGCAGATGCACCACAGCTTTAATCAGTGGCATAATGATGTTCTCCATTTTGCTTTCAGCTGAGTTGGAAATTTCAACAAGCCCAGGATCACATTTCTGTGGTACGGATCAGTCAGAGCACATTATTTCGTATGTGACGATCAGAATAACATTCAGAATTGTCATTCTCCCTGACCCTGCTGAAAATCACTTTACACTTACCTACACTGAAGTTCATTCAGTGTTTTATTGCCCTGTCTCTATCTATTAAGTTCCTTCCTCATTTCTTCATATTTGGGGAAACAATTGGCACTGGAGAGAGAAAGCAGCAGCCTTTGTGTTCAATGCAAGAAAGTCCAGGACAGAGTGGGGCTGGTGAGTTATGCCACAGTTATGCCTGGGTACAGGGACTCAGCAGCTTCGCAGAATTTCCTTGAAACACAGCAGTACCAACAGTGACCATGAATATTTGGCCTGGCTGACCACAGGGGACAGAAGAGCAGAGCTGGAAAAGCCAGCAAACTTGCTTGAATGTCCAGATCTATC